TATATTCACTCTAATCTTGTTTAGATGAATATGAATAGAAAATTTATGATAAGACTCTTTCAGCAGATTAGCAAATTTTAGAAAAATTCCTAGTTGTTTAAGATTATGGATTTCTCAACAAATCTACTCACTAAGAAAAATAAAAATTATATAAGGAAATTAAAGATTTAGTTATATTAATATATGATGTTTAGATGGTGGATAAATAAATGATGGAGTAAATAAAATTTGATTATTTTTAAGATTGGTTATGATTCTTTTAGAATGCATTTAGGAAAATTAGGTAATCAAACCATCAAAAATGATTATACTATATTAAAGTATATCTCAGAAGCAATTAATGAATCAACCTTAACCAAAGCCAAAAAAAAATGTTTATTAGAAGGCTTATCATCTTAATTTTATTCTTATATTCCTCATAATAATAATAATGGATTCTCAAAATTAAAATCTTTAGACTCTAATTAAAATATTAAGGAAAAATTAGAAATTAAAGTCAAATATCTAAATAATTAATGATGGTTATTAAGTTATTTAAAAGTATTTAGAGAATACTCATGAAAGTACTCATTATGATACTAATAATTTAGAGTAAGGTTTCTAAAGTACAAAAGGAATACGCAAAATGACTCCAACTGAAAATATACAATTTCAGATATGAAGGTACAACTTGGAAAACTTGAAGATCAATAAATTAAGAGTGATTTAATGTACTAAGTTAGAATCAAATATCTAGTGTAATTAGAATTTTTATATAAATAAAAAAAAAAATGATAATATATATACAAATATATCAAATTTGAGTAATTTAAATTAAGCATTTTGAATAATAGATATATCATTAGAAATGAACAAATATGAGCTGATAAAGGGTAGAGACATTAACATAAAATTTAGGCGCAATTTTTTCAAGGAAATTCCAATTCATACAAGAATTTTAGAATTGTGATTTATAAATAATTATATGTGTATTTTTGTGAATTAGATAGAGTATTTGATTCATAAATAAAATGATTTTCTGTATATTAATCACTTTTGATTATCATTAAAATTAATCCAAATATTTATCATTAAAATTAATCCAAATATTTAATTATATTAAATTAGATTTCTTTAAAATTTCAAATTATTTATTTCTAAGTTTTTGCCTCAAATTTGTTTCACTTAAAATACAATATATTGCCTTACCTAAGCAGTATACGGAATCAGATTAAAATGGTATGCCATTGATGATTAACGAGTCGATGTAATAACAGTGACTAATTTGAACCCTCTATCTGAAACAACATATCCAATTGCTAATCCAAACTTCAAAATAGCAAAAGTATCAATTTTAAGCTTTAGTTATTGTGGTGCATTTGAATTTGAACTTTTAGTAATATTATTTTAATAAACTATAGGTATCATCTTTATCAACTACATCCGTAAAAGTTGGAATTTAAACTGCAAACTCTAACCTACTTCATCTAGGATTTTAAATAATATTGGGAACTACTGAAGCTTTAACTCCTTTTGAAACAAAAGCTACAACTTCTTAATATACTAGTGGAGGTTTAATTTTGAAGCAAATTGTTTCTTTCTTCTTTTATATACTAAATTATAATTCAGTAACACTTCATCATACAGATTAAAATTCTTCACAACCACTGTAGGTTCTACTGTTTAATATAGCGTGTAAACATGTAATAACTTCAAATATATATATATCTTAGGGTCAAGTAGTGTATATGCTCCAAACACTATTTCTGCATTGTAGATGAAATATATTTTAAGTTATGAATTTAAACCAATTTAATGTGATACTCTTAGAATAAGCAAATATTTAGATAGAAAAATTAATGAAAAAACATCTAAATAAATTAATCTTGTAGAAGAAAACAAAATATATATTACTGAAGGTTAAGATTCCATTTAGGTTTCTGATACAATTCAAACCTTGAATGTCATTATTTATTTTAAGTGTTATTCTAATAAAAAGGTTCATACAGTAATAAATAAATGTAACAATTGCTTAAAATAATAAATAACTCTTGACCGCAATTGCCATGGTTCAATGAACATCATTTATTTTTATATGCGATTTACATCATAATCAGATTTTAAAGAATTAGCAATTACAACTACTACTAATGGTTTCTCATTTGATTAAAAACTTAGAAATTATGACGTTTAAACGAAAAATGTCTTAAATATCTAAATGTAAGATATCTGAAGATTTATAAATTGAAAAATATCATTAGATTTTAACAATATAAAATACAATCTTTTTATTATGTTAAAAAAAAAGCTTTAGTATTTTACTAAATAAAACTATGCATTTTCATTAATTTGTTTCTCTTAAAATTATTCTTTTTGGCTTTTTTTTTTTTAATAAACTTTGTACTAAAGATTTTAAATT